TCTTGAAGGTTTAATTTTCAGTTACTCTTCCGTAAATATTTTTAAATGCTTTAAGGTAACATTATTAAAAGAAATCTGTTGTAGGAAGGCAATAAATTGCTCTCTAATTTGTGTGTTTTGAAAATTTGCATTTGACAGTACTCTCTAAGCAAAGCACTATAAAACATTTTCCTATTTATAGGATGAATACATTGTGACAGAAAATGTGATAGAAAAAAAAATCTAAACATAAAAAGACCTAGGTATCATCCTACCACTAATACATTTCATGACCTTGACATAATTACAAAACTTTCCTGGGCCTCATTTCTTTATCTGAATAAATTGATTTAGTTCCTTCCCTGTGGTGAGCTTGAAGCCCCAGTTTTGTGATTATTCATCATCCATTTCCAAATATACAAACATTTTATGAACAAAACATTGATAGAGCACATAGTGGTTTAGATATGAATACAAAATTTTGTTTACAGGGCTCCTATTGAATACCTTTTCCAAAGATTATATAGGAAGGATATTAGATTAATAAATAATATAGATGAAGTTAGATAAAGATAGATAAAGTTAAAATTGATAGTGATAGTGCAAAGAATGAAATGACTTTTAGAGTTTTAAATTATGTCTATATGCAGATCTGACAACTGATATTTTTAGTACATTATTAAAGTTTGGAGATGTACTTTTTCATTTATTCATGTAATTTACTCCTTTGCAAAACATTTGCCTAAACATCTCTAGATGATTTTATATATATATATATATATATATATATATATATATATATTCTGATGTTCTCTTTGACATAGGTAAACATAGAACTATTCTTCTCTCATTTGTAAACTCAGATGTAAATAATATGCTTTTTCTTAGGAAACTGTACTATAAAGTCTTGGTAGTCATTAAATTAACAAACACATTTTTAAAAAATATTTATTTATTTGGCTGTGCTGAATCTTAGTTGTGGCTTGTGGGATCTAGTTCCCTGACCAGGGATCAAACCCGGGCCCACTGCATTGGGAGCGTGGAGTCTTAGCCACACGACCACCAGGGAAGTCCCCAACAAACACACTTAAATTATTGCCAGGTAGTAAGTTAAGAACTGGAAAATATAGTTTAATAAAGTTTAATAGGCAATAGCCTGTAATGATTTTCAGTTATTTGGATCAAATTTTCATCGTTCTTAAGGTTAAAAAATGCATCTGTAAGCCACAATTAATTATAGAGTTAATGGGTGAATGAATAGTCACTCTTCAGTTAATATGAAAAACACCCCTGTTTATTTATGAGTTAATATATTTCTGTAATTATAAGCATAAAATATGAAATCTACAGCAAAGTATGTAGTAACTGAAATGTGACCCCTAAGTTTGCTCTCCTTCAGTGTCAACCTTTATTTAAAGGGTGTTCTGCAGAATGCTAGTATTCCTTCATATGCTTCTTAGAAAATAACATTCCATGAATAAACGTTTGGGAAATGTTGGATTCAACAAAGTGAAGCAAATTGTGTTTCTTTTGTTTCAGCGTCAATCTGCCAGAGGAATCTTAATTTGAGCACTGAACTCATTTTTTTTGTGGTATCTCATGGGACTAGAGATATTATGTATGATGTATTTTGGGAAATATAGTTTTGTTTAAAACATTTTCCATAAAGAAAAAATTTAAATTAAATTTAAAAAATTGGGGCTTCCCTGGTGGCGCAGTGGTTGGGAGTCCGCCTGCCGATGCAGGGGACACGGGTTCGTGCCCCAGTCCGGGAAGATTCCGCATGCCGTGGAGTGGCTGGGCCCGTGAGCCATGGCCGCTGAGCCTGCGTGTCCGGAGCCTGTGCTCCGCAACGGGAGAGGCCACAACAGTGAGAGGCCCGCGTACCGAAAGAAAAAATAAAATAAAATAAAAAAAATTGTAGCTCACCTGGCCTCTGCTACTCTGAGAGGAAGATGGGGACTGCATGGCCAGATGCTCTTCTGGGGAGGGACAGGACCGCACTACCACAAGCTTCTCATAAGTTTACTATTAGAGCACTATTTCTTTATTCTTTAAATGTGTAAAGGGGAAATCCAAATTGAAGCCAAAAAAAAAAAAAAAAAAAAAAAAGAAGAAGATTGAAAGTGTGTTTTTTTAATAGAAATAAAATTGTAGTTTTTATTTAAGTTTATTACATGATGGGCTAGAAAAACAGCTAGCTGCAAATTAGGATAATTGTCCTTTTCTTATGAGGTTGGTTTGGAGGGTGTAGTGTGGAGATAGCTTTTTTCTATGTGAAGTACGTGTTTCCTTTAAAGAAAAAAAAATCAACATAAGAAAATCCCTGAGAGTTTTCAGTACAGATGTCTCCAAAAGAGTTATTGCTGCCAAGATTTTTTTTCCTTGGGTGTCACATAATCTTTGTATAATTTATAAATGATAACAAAGCAGTCAGGCCACATTCATAAAAGCTTAGTGACACATAATTTAGTTGAATCTGAGGATTAGAATTAATTGTCTCTCTTTGTTCTAAGTTCTAAATCTTAGTAAATGATTCATGCATGTCATTACAGCTTAATATTTGCATGAAATCACAGTTTAGCTGGCATAATTTAACAGCAATTAAAAAGCTATTTAATTGTCATGCTAATTGGTCTGAGAGCCCTTGAGGGAGAAGGGTGTCTGCCGTTTTTATTTAAGTATCTCTAGGTGGACAGTCATATACTTGCAGACACCCATAACATAATTGATAACATTCTTCCTGTTCTTGGAAATGTAAGTGAATAATAATTCATGTTTTTCCATTATAAATAAGAGAAAAGAACAACAATATGTATATGTCATTCTGTAGGAAGACATTATTATGATAATGATAATGAATCTTTATCTCCTAGCCATGAGTCTAGGTTGGAGGTAAAGAACTATGCCTATCCCTGTGCTCTAGTTTTTAATCCCTTCCATATTTTCCTTTCTGAAGGTAGACGTTTCATAACTCTCTGGAACATGAAATGTACATATAGGTGTCTGAGTCCTACCCATTAGGTTGCTGATATCAGGATCCAGCAAAATGAAAAAGGAAAATGTAACACTTCTTAATATCTCAAAGCCAATACACAATCATGTAGATTTAGGAGTGATGTTATGCTACTCTAACAGTATATAACAGATCTTGCTACCGAGTCCTCTGTACTCATTTAGACCATTCCCCACACTGCAGCCAGAATGCTGTTTTTGAAACACATCACTTCTGTAGATAGAATCTGTTAGTTTCTTCCTGTTAAGTATAGAAACATATTCAGACTCATTCCAATGAGCCAGCAGTCTGGCATTATCCAACCCCTTCCTGTTCCTTAAAACTCACTTCTTGCTTCCTCCTTCCGCATTCTAGCCACAGTGATATTCTGACAGTTCCATGACTATTTTAAAATCTTTTTTGACTAAAGAGCCACACATCTTCTACCTCTAATATTCTTCCCACCCCTCTGAACATCTTCCACATCACCTATATTAGGCCTTCTCAGAATGTTTCTCAGGTTATTTCAGCTCCTTTCCTTTTGATTTCTGTAACTGCACTTACTATAATTTGAATTTTATTCTTCTGTTTGTGTGTGTGTATTTGTGTTTATCTAGCCATTCAGCTAAAATGTTAATAACAAGAAAGCAGAAATAACTTGTATCACATTCATGCTGTAAGCCCAAGATCTAGCAGAATATCTGGCACACATAGTAGTCACTAAAAATATATATATTTAATGAATGAATGACCATATCTTGAAATCCAAAAGAAGCTTATATCAAAAATTGAATTTCTTTCTATGGAGAGAATGTCACAGAGAATTCTTTCCCTCCTTCTAAGCAAATTTTCTTGATAGCAGCAAATTAAAGAACTGTTTAGATTTCTTAAAACTAAGCTTATTAAAATGTGGCAGGAATGTTAATTAGTTATTTATACAATAAATTATTTTTCAAAATATCTGTCATAAGCACAGTCTCTTACAGAAAGGATTCTGTGGTATTTCACAACACAGTACATAGCACAGTGCCAGGCACCGAGTAGACCTTCAGTTAATATTTGTTCAGTGAATGACATGAAACTGAGGTTTGAAGGACTCGGATAAGTGTAAAAGATTATTGACACAATTTTAAGAAAAGGCTGGAATAGTTAAAGGATATAAATACTCTATGCAGTGTGATCCGTATGGAAAAATAATGAGAAAAAAGAGAGCAGATGCTCATCCACCATCCATGAGAAACATGGTTTGTGCACTCTTGATGACAAATAAGAGGATTGTGTGGGTCTCTTTATAAGCTTCTAAGGACACACTTACTTATGTTTAGTAAAGTTAATCTAAATAAAAGTCTAAGTACCATTTCTTATGTATACCCCCTTTTATCCCTTCCGTATAATGCTTTTGTCCCATGAAATTGGCAGGACCTAGTAAAAGCCTTTATGCTGCCTCCAGTTTCCCTTCCTCTTCCCCTTCTTCCAAACTGTCTGTCCACGCTGAGTTTATGGCCATTTATTCTCAGCCTGTGAGAAAAAGATTCTTAGAGAGCTTGTCCAGAAAAATGAATGGGAGTTTTACTTATACATCAAGCATAGTTTGAGGGCTGAAAGACTGAACACAGCATGTTTTATATATGCATGTTACTATTTTTTCAAAATTTTAAAATGATGATGTAATTATTAAGATGTATTTAAAACCATCACATAATTTAAAATAATGTTTTGTTATATATTTTCAGTCAACAAATTTAAAAAGTATAATTACTATCTTTTGGAGATCTGTGGCTTTTGATATTAAATATTGAAATTCATATACCAAAAGCTAAGATATAGACCATCTTCACCCCTAAGACTCCACTCTTACTAGACTAACTCAGATATTTTTAACCATATTTCTTTATGGTTTCCATCAGAAGAAAGAGCTCAAACTAATATAAAAGACAAGCAAGTGTTTATTGATGACATTTTCAAGTTAGCACCATAATTCATTGTCCTATACATGTACATTTGTTTTTTTAATTGCTTTCTCTAGGGCCACCTTCAGCTCCTAGGAATGTGGTTTTTAACATCAATGAAACGGCCCTTATTTTGGAATGGAGCCCACCAAGTGACACAGGAGGGAGAAAAGATCTCACATACAGTGTAATCTGTAAGAAATGTGGCTTAGACACCAGCCAGTGTGAGGACTGTGGTGGAGGACTCCGCTTCATCCCAAGACATACTGGCCTGATCAACAATTCCGTGATAGTACTTGACTTTGTGCCTCACGTGAATTACACCTTTGAAATAGAAGCCATGAATGGAGTTTCTGAGTTGAGTTTTTCTCCCAAGCCATTCACAGCTATTACAGTGACCACGAATCAAGATGGTAAGTTCCACTGTTGTTCTCTCAAAACTTATCTATAATTCCCTTTTGATGCTTAATATCCCTGGTGGACCTATATTCACTGAGGTGCAATTGTACACTCTATACATTACAGGGGTGATTTTCTGGTGGTTGTTCTTATTGTTTCCCAAGGTGCAGAAAGATATTTTTGATATTACTTCTTAGTAGTAATGGTCAATTAGATATAAAGCTTCTCTTTAATATCTATGCATTTATGTTTTTGATATAATCCTATACTAACATATCTTAAGAGCAAGTCCATATTACTTACCAACAAACATCAGACATAAATAAGATGTTGCTACATGAATTGAAATTCAGTTGCCGTACTTATGCAGCCATCTCTTTTCCATGTCAGATAAGCAAATAGTAAGAATTTATGCTAATTATAATTCATATCTATATTGTAAAAACAATACAGCCAGCAAGCCTAACCATAATCCATTCCTAAAAGAAACAGCAAAAAATATCCAGAAATGTGTCTAAATGCTGCTGTTTAGGTGCAATTTTGTGTAAAAAATAGTTAAACTGTCTTTTTTAAAAACTCCAATTGCCTTCAGCTAAATGGTCCCTTTTAACACTACAGGTTTTTACGGCAATGTAGTTAGGCATGAATAGGCCTATGATTTTTTTTAATATATATTCTCTTTAATTCCCCCCATAATGTAATTTATCACAAAGCATGATACAGGAAAAGCTTCAAAGATTTTAAAAACTCCCTTTGAGAAGCATTCATAAATTATGTTGATACAGAAGTGATTGTCTTATAGAAGAAAGTATTGTTTTATATGTTTTATACTATTCTTTTACACTATATTCGTTTGCTAGGTCTGCTATAACAAATGCCACAGACTAGGTGGTGTAAACAACAGAAATTTAATTTCTTATTGTTCTAGAGACCAGAAGTCCAAGATTAAGGTATCAGCAGAGTTGATTTCATTCTAAATCCTTTCTCCTTGGATTGTAGATATCCATTTTTCCCTGTGTCTTCATATGTTCTTTCCTATGTGCATGTCTCTGTCATAATCTCTTCTTGTAAGGATACTATCATGACAGATTAAATCCCACCCATATGACCTCATTTTACCTTAATTTCATCTTTAAGGGACCTATCTCCAAATCCAGTCACATGCTAAATTCAACATATGGATTTTAGGGGATGCAGTTCGGCCCATATCATGCATTAAGGCAGCTATGGTGATATTTAAAGTAGAAATATATATAAGATGTTGGAATACTATTCAGCAATAAAAAGGAACAAACTAGTGATACACACAACTTGGATAAACTTTAAGGGCACTATGCTGAGTGAAAAAAACCAATCTCAAAAGGATACATACTGTATAATTCACTTACATAACATTCTTGAAATAACATAATTGTAGAGATGGAGAATAGATTCTTGGTGGACAAGGGTTAGGGCTTAGGGAGAGAGGGATTGGCTATGAAGGGGTAGCAGGAGGGAGCCTTGCAGTAATAATATAGTTATGTATTTTGATTATGGTGGTAGTTACATGAAGTTAGATATGTGATAAATTGCAAAGAGCTACACGCACAACATGCGTGCATGCACACACACACGAGCTCTATGGATTTTCTCAATGTCAGTTTCCTGGTTTTGATGTTGCACTTTAGTTATTGCAAGTAGTTAGCATTGGGGGAGGCTGGGTAAAGGGTGTATGGGACCTTACCATACATTATTTTTTGCAAATATCTGTGAATCTATAATTATTGCAAAATAAAAAGTGAAAAAAACACTGCTAAACCTATAAAGTATACAGGAAGAAAACTTAAATATTCTACTAAAAACATATTTGAAGTGGATGTGACTATTTTATTCAAAATAATATATATAAGTTCACTTTGCTGATGATCTTCAGAAATGCATCTAATAAATAAAGCAAAGCCAAATAATACTGTAGAATCACCATTTTTATATTTACTATATAATATTCCTCTTCATCTAGCAAACTGCTCCACGTCATAGAATTTGCTTTATGATTGTTCAAAATGTAATTCTTGTTTTCTCTTTTTTTTCTTCTTTCCCATAGTGTCAACAAAATCTTGTCAGATGTGCCTTCAGCATAAAACAGATAGGGTCTTCTGTTTCTCTCTGCATTAGCAGATTATTTCTAAGCCTTTTTTCTGCCATTTGATTAAAAAAACTATAATCCAGTACAACTGTTCTAACTATAGGGTATAAATAATTAAGTTTGGGAATAAAAACAATATATCACTTTAAATAAAATATACATGTAAATATGTTTACATAATTTCATACATTATACACATAGCAGTCTTTCAGGATTAGAAGAGAGTTCATTTAGGCTATTTTTCTAATTTAGCAGAAGGGCAGGATACGAACTATTTCCCACTTTGAAAATGAGAGAATTTATTAAAAGTGTATTGTTATAAGGACAGAAATTATACAAAGCATGAAACAAGATACAATATCCATATATTGAGGCTATGCATTCTGATAGGGGACAGTATTATTAAATAATCCTCCCCAGTAAATTTATTTTTGAGAAGAATATTGAGAAACAATCATTGTTCATTTAATTCAACTTTGTTTTAGTTATAAATTATAATGAAAAATCAAAATATATTTAAATTTTGTTTGAAAAGTACATCAAGGTCCTAAACTGAGCTAAAATATTGCCACATATATGCTTTATAAAATATTATGACCAGTCTTACACATATAAGCCACTTATCTCCATGTCATAATTTTGAGAGGCACCAAGAAGGTCTTCTCTTCTCGTGTCTGAAATTCTGATGTTAGAAAATCATACTTTTAAAAATGCAGATATTCCAGTCAAGGGTAACATTATGAAATAATTCAATCTGTGCATGTATCCATTACTCTCTTCATATCAGAAGGGGTCAGATCCTAGTGTTGGGTAAAAGGAGCTTATAGAAACTGGAGTGTCCCAGAACCAGACTTGAGCTGTCATCATTGTGTGCCAGCTTTAATAAGATAACAGTGTTACTGTTGCAGATAGAGGGAGGGATTTGCCATCATTCCACTTGGGTATCTTTGGAAATTCTCTTTGAAGTGACTCAAGAGGCACTGTCCAAAGTTACAGGGTAACACATTACAATTTTGTTGGACTGAGGGGACCACAGTAAATTATTTGTCTCATTATCTGTAGGTTACATATCATTGTTTTCACACTAAAATAGAAAAGTGATATGAGCTATTAATAAGCCTTTAATTTATTCAATACATGTATAGTGGTGAGCGAGCTTCTGTGAATTTTACACCTGGTGGGGAGGCAGATAACAAATAATTTGACAAATACATAATTAGTACTGTGATAAGTCCCACCAAGGAGAAGCTCAGGGTGCTCTGAGAGCATGTATTATTCAGGTCTAGAGAATAAGGGCTGGTTTTCCTGAGGAAGCAGTATTAAATTAAGTTCTGTTCTGAGAGATGAGTAGAATATGAGTAGGCCACATGAAGCCAGGAGAAGGGAAAGAATGCTGAGTAGAAGGAACCAAGCAAAGGTTAAGCAACTGAGGGATTAGGCCCTGATGACTAATGGACCCAAGAACATCTAACAAGTTGATATATTGCAGAGGTACAACAGGATTTGGGGAAGGACCTGAAGCTTTAACTAACATTTGGAGAAATGAGTTGGTGTCTGCAAAATAGCCAAGACAAGTTAGGGGAACAACCATTTAGCAGAAGATGCTGATATATCATCAGGGCCAGAGGTAGGGAAAAAGAAACTCAGCAGAATAATAATATTGTACATGAGGCAACCTCGTACAAATAGGAAATAAAATAATAGAGACTGAAAAATATAGACAGTTGCATTAATTATGATTTTACTATTCTGTGCACAGCGTGGAACGTGAGGATAAAGAGGAAGTTTGCGTCAAATTACCTTTTCTTTCATGTAGCTGATTATATGTATATGTCTTTTCTCATACTTAAGAAATATTAAGGAAACCCCATTAAACAACCTTGACTTAATTGTTTGCTGTCTGCTTACAATTACAGAAATGTAAAAAAAAAAAAAAAAGAAATTTCCAAATCACTTAGACCCACTTAGCTGTAGTTAGGAAAAACATTCCTTGATTATCCTGATTCTAGTTGGATAAATAAGATTATAGATTTAAGACTGACTCTCATAATTAGAAATCTTTGCAATAAACCTTAATTAACTGACTTCTGCAATCCCTAAAAGCTTTTTTGCAACCTTCTATTTTGATAGTTTATTTAAATGGTCTTTAAAGGTGGTTCATTTAGAGAACAAAACAAGAAAGCAACACCTAGAAAACATTTGATTTTAATCCTCAGTGCATGATAGAAAAACTAAGCTGTGTAGTTTAGTAAAAGGAATTATTCAGGTCATAGACAGGAAAGGAAAATGTTAATCATGGATAGCCTGAAACAAATTATGTTTGTAGATATCCTGACATGTGCAAAAACCTTTAGGGACCATGTTCAAAGTGAAAGACATGCTAAGTTACAAACCAATTCTGCTGATATTTACTAAAGGGTCTTTAAAGCAATTATTGTCAGAAGCAGTTTGTCCAGTCCTTCAGCTTCCTAAAATATACATTCAACACTCCTGTCTCTGCCAATGGGTGACTATTCTGTATAGGTCTTGCTTTAGGCTTACATTTTGATTGCAGATTTCATATATTTGCTCAGGTAGCAATAATTAATTGAACTGACATTGAAAATAGACTTAAATCAACAAAAGTCTCCATATATTTATAAACTTGAGATGTCTATTTGATTTACAGTTCACTGCATTCTGAAAATACAGTCTATTTCAAATAGCAACCTTTTGCACATTGCCAGAGTAGGTAATTAGGGACATTATAAACATTCATTCATCTTTATTTTAATTTATTTTATGTCTGGATATTCCTCATAATCCTCACTGTGTTTTGAAAATTCTTGACAGTGTTTTGAAAATTCTTGACAGTGGACATTCTTTTTTCTAAAATCTGTGCAAGTCTAC